CCCACATCCCTTCCCTTCCCCCACAACAGACTTACCAACCCAACACTGGTCTCCAAGCTGCCTGGCTGCATATCAGAATTGGATCGGTATCGGCCAGTATGGCTCCTTAAAAATCGTCCGTCAGTACCAGCCCAAAAAATCTCTATTGGTGGTGCACCCCTAATGGAAGCTGTGCTCATTTGCTGCATCTTTTAGCCAAAGACTTAAGTACTCCAGGAATAAAGTAAAATCCTGTTGAAACTGCACAATACTTCTGAGACAACTAGTTTGCTTCAGTTTCATTGAAGACAGCTAGGAGATGCAAGGTAATTCTTCCCTAAATGACACCCTGGAATTCAGTGATTGACTGCTTTGAGCTATTTGTTAAGAACCGGCCTATTCTAATGACGATCTGTGAAGAAAACTGTGACAAAATTGATGGAAGTATCACAGCTAGAGTAGTCAACATTGGACTAAAGAGAAATGTAGAACATTTGCTGAATACACTAAAACCTATTTTCCGAGCCTTGGACAAACTACAGAAAGATTGCTGTTGTAGTGCAGATACTGTTAAAATTTGGAAAGAACTTCAAGAAACATTTAAGCAAGAAATACTAAACAGCAAAATTAAGCTGCAAGCAGTAAAGAAGCAGATGGATCAAGCACTTACTCCACCTCATTTTCTCCCCAATATTCTTAACACAAAGTACTGGAGTAGATACTAGGGCTGCATAAAGCTTTGAGTGGTGATTTGATTTGGAGGAGATTCAGCCCAATTTGGTGGCTGAATCTCCAAATCAAAATCGAATCGGGGACCAATTAAAAGGTCCAAATTGATTCAAAGCTCTCCGAATCTTTATAAAAGATTTGGAGAGCTTTGATTGTTCGGGCAGTTCCTGGTGACTGCAGCAGGGAGCTGCAGCTTTTTTGGGGCTGGTAAGTACTAGGGGCAGGGGAGAGGGGGCTGGAGGAGGGGACCATGGGGGGGGGCCCTGCCCCAGCTCCTGGCCCTTTAAAGAAAAGCCCCCCCCATGCAGTGGGGGGCAATGGGGATCACCCCCCCCGTCTGGCAACACCCACTAAGTTGGGCCTTTTTTTTTACAAGTGCTGGGAGCTGGTGCAGGCTGGGCAGCCATTGCCAGGCTGGGGGAGATGGGCCTGGCTGATTTGGGGATTCAGTAGCAGCCAAATCTCCAAATCAATTCGGGACAGCGATTCAAATCACCAAATCGAATCACCACCCCCCCGAAACAGCCAAATCCGAAGTAAATACTAGCCGCTTTGCACAGGCCTAATAAATACCTAACTGCTGAAGAGGTAAATGCTGCTATGATGAGGGAATCTACTAAACACCCATCAGCCATGCCAGCCATAATTAATTTCAGGGCTAGAAGTGAACCATTCAAGCAATATTTGTTTGCTGAGGGCATTTAAAAGAAAGTCACACCACTAAATTGGTGGAAGTCACTAGCAAAGCACCTGGAACCAGAGTTTGTTGAAGTGCTGAACCAGCTTTTACCACCAGCAGCCTCTTCTGCAGATGCAGAAAGAATATTTTCATTTGGACTGGTACATTCAAAGCTAAGAAATTGATTGGGAGCTGAAAAAACATGAAAGCTCATCTTTCTCTTCCAGTCCATGAATAAAAAGGAGGAGGAGGAGGAGATTTTATGCATTCCAAAATCTTGAAAGGGGGTAAAATTTTTCAAAACGGTCTAGGTAAAAAAAAAAAATAAATAAATAACTCTCATTTTAAAGAGAATTGGGCATGTAGAAACTTAAGCTCAAATTACTTTCCTGTAGGCTTAGAAGATGTTCCCCAGGGTGACATGCAATAATTGGTTTAATTCATTAACTACAGTTCATACTGCTAATACTATAACAATTAATACAGTAGATTAGTAGATTAGTTAGTTGTAAGTGTTCACCAAGTTTTAAACTTTTTTAGTTTCTGTACCAAAAACTTTAAAGTTTTGTTTAATAAATTTGTAGTGCTGGTTTTGTTCAGTTAAATTCAGGTTACCATCTTAATATGCAGCTTGATACAAACATGAGCAAAAAGTTAATCATCTAGTGAATAAGAAATATATATTTCACCATTTTGTAGCATACTAAAATGTAGGATTTTTAACAGTACACATATGTTAAGCTATATAGCTTGTTTGCATACCTAGGAAACATGTACTAAATCTACTGTAAAAAACATTATTTAGCTGTAAATCAACACGTTTTAATTGCTATATCAACCAATGAAAATACCCTTCTTTTTTGTTTGTTTTTTAAATACAGCGGGAAAGTTGTTAAAAATCAGCAAGAGAGAAGCCCAATTTTAAATCTTTGATTTAAATCGGTCCCCCTGCATTGAAATCTTCCAGTGATGGAGATTCCACCACTTCTCTGGATAATAGGCTCCAATACTTAACCACTCTCATAGTGAGAAAGTTAATGTATATAATGGAAAACTGAAACACTTCTTATTTATGCTGGAAATACTTGCCTGAGTTTCACTTGGTGTGGTATTTTGGGATCGCTCTGCATGGATTTTCAAGTTGGTGTCTCAACTCTGAAGTTCGGAAGATCAGTATCTTGGATTATGAGACAATTCAGGGGTGAAGTAATATATGGTGGTTGGCAAACAATGGCTTTAAACAGAACTCACAAAGAAAGTATTTTTTCCACAGCTCTGTCTCTGCATGAGGCCTCTGGCAGCTTCATGCTGCTTTGAGTCAGCTTTACAATAGGAACCAAGAGTCTCATAGTCTGAAAAGGACTCTTTGGCATTGCATCTATTTGCTGAAAAAAAAATTATGGGTATTTTTTTTTCCAATTTTTGAGTCAGAATTAATTTTTGGAGAAAATTTCTAGCCTTACAGGTGTTTCTGGTCATTTGGAAATGGATCCCCTCAGCAAATTGTACAGTTTAACAATAGGTAACTCAAATGTTGTAATTTGGGATTTCTGCTCTGTGCTGGAGGTAAAACATTACTTGAGTAGCTTAAAAGGACTTCTCCTGGATTTATAAAAATAATTTATTTTGGTGTAATTTACCTTTGGCCAGTCCTTAATAATCTAGACCTGTTCCTCAAAGGTAACAGAATGTACTGCCACATTACGCAGCAGAATGACTCCTGATTTGTTAATGAGACTGAACCTTGACAACCAAAATATCCTCAGGAAACACTCTACCTCGTTGGTTTCCTTAATTATTTAACATTTAAACTAATCTGTACTAGTAGAGCTGTTAGGGTTAGGTGGACCTTTGACCACTTCTTTGATCTTATTACATGCATGCCAATTAAGAAAATGTGTTGTGATGTTTTATGTGCACTGGCCCAGTGCACTGCATTTAATCACTTTGCACAGTCTATTCATTCTCAAATTAGAAATTGTTGCTTTTGTTGTAGATTTACTGTAAAGACATAACATTTTTAAAAAGTTAGAAAAGAAGTATACTGAACTGACATCAATGTCTGTGCTATAGTAGGGACTGAATTCCCCTGGGAATTAGTCCTCTACCATTGTCTAGCCACAGAAACAACCAGTTACTGCAGTCTTGGGAAGAACATGGCCTGAGAAAATAAAAGGCTATATCCTAGAGTTATATATAGCAGCGGTTCTCAACCTTCTTTGTACCAGGACCCATTTGTAAACATCAGTGGCCAGTCCTGACCCGCTGCCCCCTGCCCCCAAGTGTGTGGGGTGGGGGGTTGGGTGTATGGGGCATAGAGATGCCCCCAAGTAGCACCCTACTGACTGGGACTCTGCCAGCCTGCAAGGGAAAAGCCAGAGTTTCCCACATTTTTCTCTTTTAAAGGACAATCCTTTTTCAAAGTTTGTTCATGACCCTTTCATATATTTTTGCGACCCACAGGTTGAGAAACGCTGATATATAGCAAATGTACACATATGCACACACGTATATGCACGTTTTGTTAATTCATCGGTTACAGAACTTACATTGTTAAAATAAGGTATGTATATGCTCTAAAATACTGCATGGCAAGTCTTGGCAGCTCTTCACTTTGTATTTTAAATATTTGGTTAGGCATACTTGTTCACTTGCAAAATGTTTGAAGGTCATGAAACTATTGAGCTATATAACAGACTACTGACTTTTTTTGCTGAGCTATATTATAAGTGAGGTACTTTAAAAGCTTTTATTAAATTTTGCCATAAGGCTCACATTTAATAGTGACTTAACTTTGTAGTGCAACTTTTCTGTGCTACCTGAAAAATGCTAATCTTGTAGTTAATCCAGGAGGTGAACTAGAGTAATCCGGGTGCTTATTTTTCAGGGGTGTTGCATAAGTAGTAGTTTATGATTACATGGTTGCATAGTTGATAAACCTGTCTGGTCATTCAGATTCTTTACTGTAGCTTTGAAAAGAGCTAAAACTTGCTGTTTAAGAATTATACGTTTTGAATTCTCTTTTTCTTTAAACAGTTTTCCTTTTCAAAATTTCAAAACGAACATGGAGGTTATTGTTGCTTTTATTCATTCACTTTTTATATTTAAGTTCTACTTAGGTCCCAATCAAGCGAGTTTGATCTCTTCCTAGTATCCCTGGGTGCTTGCTTACCCTTTTACAAAATAAATTCAGGAGAGGACAAGGACTGGAAAACAGAAGTTTTGCTTATCAGGCTTGACATGACTGGCAAAACTGTACAGAAGAAATGTTACCATAACATCTCTGGCGTATTGAAAATGTGGGGATTCCTTTAGAGAATAGAGGTTGAGTTGGAGTAAGTTTAATGAAATCTTTAGTTCTAGAATTTAGTAAGTATAGTAGCATTCCTATAAACTTTCACATGCTGTGAATGAATCTTCAATGTATTGCGCTAAATAATTGGCCCAAAGACTTCAACTGCAATAATCAGTAAAGACACCATGTGGTGCTCAAATACAGCATTAGATGCAGGGACCACATCTTGGCTTCTGGGATCTGCAGTCACAGGTATAGAGACTGTAGGAACTAATTACACTCAGTTTTCCTTTATGTGCCTTTCTTTTTTTTTATCAGAAGGACACGCTCCTTACATGGACCATGCCCGGTGACTACATTTGGACCAAAGGCCTGTATGCTGCAGAACCCAAAAACGATAATGTAAGTGCCTCTTGTTCGAACGCACACTAATGTGGTTATTCTGCATTCAAAACCATTCCTTGATAACCTTTGTTGAAATCACCTTCAAGTATATACACACAGTGCTTAGAGGCTTGTTTCTAATGCTTAATTCAGGGGTGTCATATTCACCTTGCACCCTGGGTTGGATCTGGACCGTAGAGCTCCTTGCAGGCTAGATTCGTTCAGGGGCACACAGTGGCAACTCTGGCTCTGACCTGGGGCATGTGGCAGTGACAGCAACAGCAGCTCCAGATCCTTCTGCATTTAATGTGCCGGAGCTGCTGTTGTGTGTGCTGTACTGAAGTGGCAGTTCTAGCCCCAGCACGTCGGCTCCAGGATGGGGTGGTGGTGGGACTGGCAGCCCCAAAGCTGAAGCCACAACGGTGGTGGTGAGCCAAGAGCTCTGGTTGTCCTCCAGCTGCTGTCATGCCTTACTTGTCTTCCTGCCACTGATCGCCATATCCACAGGGCCCAATGACCCTAAATTCTGTGACAGGCCACTTCCCTACCATGTCCCCCAACCTTTGGTGGCTAATGGCAGGCTGGATAGAGCAGCTATGTGTGCTATATGTTTGACTCCCCTGCCCCCCCAACTTAATTAAATGCCTGGATAGGGTCTGATGCAGCCAAAAATTAGTGCAGCATTTACAGCACACAAGCTCTGAAAAATCATCTTATGAAGACAGATGGTGTTTCTTGAACTGCAGTCTCAAAAATAAAAACACAATATGCATGTATTAACTTACTGTTGTATTCAATAAGCATAAATAAAAGCTAAGAAAGTCATTGCTTTCCCCCACCCCCTCTTCTTTTGCTTCTCCAAAAAGATAATAGGATACAATTAATATTTCTTTTTATAAATGTAAAGGATCTTGTCTGCCTAAAGATATCTCTACATTCTCTCACGTGTCTTATTTGTGTAGCTCAGCATGGTTAACTAGTCTTAATGAACAGGGTCAGTAAGGGTTGCCATAATACATCACCTTAGATGAAGTTTCAGGAATGCACTGCATTCTTTCAAACAGTTGGAAATATTGGATTGAAACAAAGGAAATGGTATGCATAATCTAATTTACAAATGAACAAAAATTAACTTTTTTTTTCTTAATTTAACAGCAGTTGTCAAATAATCTTGCATTTCTAGCTAGGGACATTGTATTCTTCCTTCTGCTTGCTGGTAGTAGCCAGTATCTTGGGGATACAAGGCTGGGTCTGATAATCAACTTGCGTGTATAAACACTGGGCACTAGTGTTGAACTTTAGGCAGCCACAAGAATGTGAATCCTCAGGGAGGAACTGAGATGTCCTATACAGTGTATGGGGAAAGATAGGCATTTCAGGATGAGAAGGGGATATGGCCAGTAGGCTGGTTGTGAAGCTGCCTTCATCTGTCTAGAGCTAGGTGATAGGGACTGGTGAGGACAAGAGCATGCCATAAATTCTGACCCCAGGATACTGCATTTAAGGCTGAAGGGAGGCACCTCTACTGGAGGTCCACAGTAGGGCTGTGCAAAATGGCACTGTTCCATTTCGCCTTGAGTTTTGACGGTTTGACAGAACAGTGGTTCGTCTCTAATTTCATTTAGAGTCAAAACAGCTGTTCCGTTCTGTTCCATCAAAATAGAAAGGCTGTTTCAATGCTGTTTTGAGTTTTGCTGGGGATGGGGAGTCAGAGCAGCTGGGCTGAATTCCCATCCCCCAGCACTAGATCACCCTGGGGCTGCTTCCCCATCCCCTGTGCTAGATAGCACCAAGCTGGGCTGCCTCCCGCACCCAGTGCGATCTAGTGCGGGGGATGGTTGAAACATTTCGAAAGTTGAAATGTTTCAGCCAGCCTCGTTTTGTTTCAAGGTAATTTTGACGGCCTTTGTTTTGTTTCGATTTTGCTGTTTAGACCTCAGAATTGGTCGAAATGGAACAGATGGTGAAATTTTGCACAGCCCCGAGTCCTCTGCTGAAAGTAGGAGTTTATGCCACTTCTTTCAGACAACTGAGCAAAGTTTGCTCCTGTTCCTTAACATAACTGGTGGTGTTGCATCCCTTTTATAGAAGTCTCACCCTCAAGTACTTGCTCAGGAAGGGGTGGATCCAAGTTCTGTTCCCTCTTGTTTGGCAGTGCCCCCACCCAAAATAGCCTCCAGGCCACTCATGGGAGGTGGGACTGTGGGTTTGGATCCCCTCAGGCAGGGGGACAAATCAGGGTGACTGACTGCCCCGGGCCCCATGGACAGTGTCATACAGGCCACACTGCCAGCAGCTTCTGTGGGCAGTTGCCACCCCCTCCTCCCCCCCACCATTGGCTTCTGCCGGTGGTTGCCACTCCACTCCCCCTTCCCACACGCACACAGGCTGATGTGCCCCGGGCCTCACACACCCCTAGGGATGGCTCTGCCCTCAGGTAAGAAGAGGGATTCAGCCATACCTCCCTCTTCCCTTTCTGGGCAAGTGTTTACCCCAGGCTATTATGCAAATTGGGTATCACCAGCAAGCTCTGAAAGTGCCATAACTGTTTTATGTGGTCCCTGATTCTGCAGTATATTAGGCATAGTCTGAGAACACCTGCTGGATTGAGTTTCTCTTATGGTGCTTAGGTGAAGGCTTATCTGCTTTCTGGAGCCTGAGTGAGCTTAAGCATGAGCTTGGTGAGCTGCTCAGCTTTGGCAAGACTTTGGCAGTTCTATGTACCCCATGCACTTGGGGAACTTTGAAGTCAAACAAGGAGGTGCTTAAGGTTAGAGTTTTTGACGTCTCCTGAGCTAGACAACAGCTGAGCAAGGGTTTTCAGGATTGCAGCTCTGGTTTTAAGCACCCAAATTCTGCATAGGTGGGGTTTTTTTGTTTGTCTCTTTTAAAGATCTGGTTCCTCTCTTCTGGCCCCTTGTATAGATGCTCCCCTTTCTCTATAGTCTAATTTGCAAAAGGGAGATTTCCTGCTAATACCGACTAAACTTATTGTTAGTTGTAGTGCATACAAGGGACAGAATAGTTCCTGTAGATAGTACGCTCTTGTGCTTTCTCCCCATCCCACCCCCCAAGTTGCAGATTGGTGTCACCTTTCAATGTCCCACTTCTTTGCATTTTTTGTTGTTGTTTACTGCGTGCTTCGTTTCCTTTGTTGTTGTCAGGTTGCTTTAATCTCTTTTATAAGTTACTTGCCCTCAAAAGTTTATCATGGAACAATAACGAATATAGGGGTTTGTTACTTTTAGAGTGTGAAGTGTGTAGTAGGTCCAAAGCAATAATGAGACATGTTGCATTGCTTTATGGGGTCATATCACCAGATTCTGGCATTTTTCTAGAACAGTGAAACCTGGTCTTATCTTGGTTCTGCCAGATGTGGTGTCTGGAGGAGGAAGCAACTAAATGCACTGTTCTCTTAGTGTGGGCCTTCAGCTAGCTGTCAAAGTGGCTGTTGGTCATGAACCTAACTGATTCAACATCTCATTTAGTTCAAATATGCTCAACCTGTTTTTACATTGTAAAGGAAATGGATGCATGCAGGCTCTATTCTAAAAGATCTTTACAGCACATTTCTCAAAATAAATTATGTTAGATTCTATTAACAGATTTATAGTAACCAGGAGGAATGGGTAAAATGATTAGTGCTGTATGGCAGGATGTTTTTTGAACCATGCCCTTTTGTTAGATTAAAGTTCAAATCACATATTTCTGTTGATCTATATTGGATTAATTCAGAGGGAGACTGTCAAGGTATCGCCTATGTTGCAGGTTTTGTGTGGCAAAATCTAGACTTATAAAATGGTGCATTTGGCACTATGGTTGCCTGTGCCTGTGCTCCAGTGGTTTCTGCCTAGAACATGTTGGCCCAGATTTGATAAATAGAGTCTTCTGGAGCGTGATTAAAACACTCCAGCATGCTGCAATGCCTCCTGTATTCAGTGTCCTGTGTTTCAAAGTTGCGGTGGGAGTGTTTTACATTCAAGGTTTAGTTAAAGTGCCCCTGCCACCATTTTGAAAGGCAGGATGCTGAATACACAAGACACTGTGGGCATTTTAATTAGAGCAGCTCCCAAGAGCCACACCAATTAAATTGTCGTGTTTCCCCCCCCCCCCCCCCCCCCCCAAAACAAAACCAAACCCTGCAGCACGTGTATAGGCACCGTATATTTAGTTCTAAAACTTCAGTGAATATGTTTAAGGCACTGTTAATGTCATTCTCCTACTGCTGAAAAGAGAAATGAGCAGTTACAGAGAACAATTGCATATTCAGTAAAACAATTATTGTTTTACAGTTTGGAGCATTTTGGGGAGATTATTCCTTTAATCTTATTGCTTCCCACAAGAAGAGTGAATTTTTCAAAGCTTAATAAGAGTGCACATAGAAACTACAGGAAAATGTTCGAGAGCACTGCCAATATGTTTTATCAAGCAGTGCTTTTTCCACTAACTGAGCAAGCAATGTAGCCAGCAGGCCTGGGCTGTTTGTTACGTCCTGAAGCCAGTTTATTAGGCTCAAAGAAGAGTGAATCATTCCCTAGATCGCACCCACTGGTATTTTAAAAGGCAGGTTAACAAAAATCAGCGGATACCCATGTAGAATGGCAGAATTATATATTTTACAACTAACCTAACCAAAATATGTAATCCTGCCAACCCCCTGCTCCCTCCTACCCGTCCTTCCCCCCACGCTTCCAAACCCACTACTTTCTCCCCACCTTCTCTGAAGTTTTGAAGCCATGTGTTCTAGCATCCTGTGGCACACTCTGGGTAAAATGAAGATCAACCGGGCAGTCCTCTTTACAGAATACCTTGGTGGTAAAGTTGGTATTGAAACAAGGGGTTACTTGGGTTCTGCACTTGCTGTCTGTCTGTTGGTAGACATGAGATGGATAACACAGAACTAAAGCACTGAATTCATTCCTAACCTGGTAAACAGAGTTGGTGTCAGGGGAGGTAGGCAAATACAAATATGGACTAATCGGCTTGTTTTAAAAGGATGTTTACCTTTTCTTTGAATTGAAAATCAGAGTAATCATTATGAAGTGAAGCAGTCTGGAATTTTAGATGATCATAAGGATTACTTTTTCCCAACTTGGCGTGGTAGTGATATTTTGACTTTTCCAGTGAAAGTGTGGAGGGACCTTTGATGGGCAAAAAGACTAACTTCCTCAAGTCTTATGTCAACACTAGAGCCTGTGGCTAAGATGACTCTAATTTGTTTGAAGATTTTATTTACGTCATTCATTTCACCACCTGACCGTGGCAAATACACTCCTCCCCATGGGCTGAGCCAACGCTGTACAATATAATGATAGTGTGTCAAGATTAGTCCGGTACAGAGGCTGTCAGCAGTACTAAGAGCACCGTGGTTGCCAAGAAAAAGACAGTTAACGCAGTGTTTAAATTAGTTGGAGAGATGAGGACATTCGCAGGTCATTGGAGTAGAAGGCTATTAAGAATCTAAACTGCCGATGATAGTTTCAGCTTTTAAGAGTTCTCTTTCTTATGTCTGTGGGCTTCTAAAATGTCATCTGATTTTTCCTGGTTACTGAGAATATTTTTAACAAGTGGACTATAATGGAAAATCCTGGACTAGAGTGTGGTGGCAACAGTTTGTATGTTAGTGTAAAATCTGAGTGTCTTCTGTAATGCTAGTGTTGGTGACTGTCTTTTATAAGCAAGCCTTCCAAAATAATGTGGAATGATCCAGATGAATGGAATTAATTTTTAATGACAAGCCAGTGGTTTGAATATATTATTGTGTTAGCTTTAGGCTTAGTTAAACTTTTTTTTGAAAGGGAGTTTGGCTTTTTGAAACATTAAGAGCCTATTGAAGATTTTTAACACTCTTTTTAAAGGGATTTTTCTTTGAAACTGAAACCACCCCCCACACCATTTATTAGGATTATTTGAAACATCAAATTAAATAGTAATCTTGGACAAAACTAATGATAAAATAAAAAGTGATTAGGTCTAAGACTTTTCCAGAGCTCTTTTTTTTTTTTTTTTTTTTACCTTGCCTGACTTTTTTTGAAGTAAATCATGAAGATCTTTGAGCATGTTATGAATAATCTCTACTTAAATAGAACTACGGGGAAGTGGTAAGTACAGCATAATAAACGCAAGTTGTTTGCAGGAAGGCGGGGTTTGAATAAAGTCTGTATTGGTTTGGATGTGTTCTCAGATTACTAGGTGAAACAGTGTTGATGCAACCTTTAGTTCCTAAAGTTGGCAGGGAGTTACCATGATTAGTTGAAACCTTTTAATTCCTTCTCATGCTTTTTGTTTTAGATACAGGGGTATACATGTAAAACTTCTGCAATCTCATGTATTGTTTTTCTTCTGCAATTTATTTAGGGGTCGTTAATATTGAAATTGGCTTGTGAAATTTGAATCCATTTTCCTTGGCACTTGTTTTTGCAGCAATAAAATATTAATCTCGGGCTCACTACCTGTAACTTTCTGTCTTGTATAGTTCCTTTTTCATATGTAGATCTTCAAAGCAGCATTTTTGGGGGGGTTCATTCTACTACAGTTAATAGTTTGATTAGGATACCAGAGAGGGTTTCCAAGTGCATGTTAGTCCTACTGCGTGGTGATCTCTGAGGCTCACCATTAAATGCAGTATTAAAAAGAAAAGAAACTTAGGGTCTTAGATGGGCATGGATGTAGCTGAAATCCAATCCCTGTGTTTCCCCTTGAAATTCTGTCATTGTGTATAAGAAAATATACAGTATTGTCTTGTTTCAATGACTGCATTTGGGGCTTCTGTATTACTCTATAGTCTTTAGTTAGCGCTATATTTGTACATGCAATATATATACAAGCAGCTCTACTTCTATAGCGAGCTGATCTCTTCAGCTTTCTTACAATTCAAGGAATTGCCACTCTGCAGGTTGGAGCAGCCAGTGACAGTAAAATATCCCTGCTTTTTCTTAACTGTTAAACTGCCAATAGAAGGCTATTCTAAATCTGTTTGTGAATTTGGCTTGTTCAGCATTTGCAGTAATCCTCTTTTCTACATGGATTATACCAGCAGCACATGGGGAAAAAATGAGATGCTTATAAACCACTAATTACAAGTAAGAAATTGTTTGCTTAGCTTTGAAAGTTTGTCATTTAAGCAATTAAGTAAAGCAAAGAAGCAGTTGCATGTTTTCAAATTGGCAAGACGGATTATAGAACAATAAGTGTTGCTTCATAGATATGGTTGCAGCTGAGGTTCCATTATTACATTGATTTTTTTTGTTTTGTTTTGCCCTTAAAAATTCATAGCAAGCAATATGAGCTTATAATTCATAATTTGTATGGAATTTGAAGAGAATTCAATAACCTGAAAATAAAATAATAATAAAAAATCTATTTTTGCCAGTGTGACAAAACTCCGATTTCACCAGGTATTGATGTACTTTTATTTAGGTGCTCTTTTACAGATGTGGGAAGTAAAGTAGTGGGTAGGAGGGTGGGTGGCTCTTTTGTTTTATCTGGGTTCAAAAAGAGCCCCGTAAGGATAAATAAATTGGTATGTTTTTTCCTCTTTTCTGTGTTGGCACAGTCAAGCCTGTTAGTATGTCCTTTCCATTTTTTAATGTTGAGGTTGTTGTTACTGTGTACCAAAAGGGGGAACGTGTACTTATCTGCCAAGATGTGCCTGAAGTCTTAACTTCGCCTTGATTTTACTTTTATCAAAGAATACAATGAGTTTGGTAGCTTTTATTTCTCAGTAAGCTATTTAGGTATGTTAACTATCGTTAGCACCATTGCAGTATCACAGAAGAGGAAATAGGAAATGTTTACATTGGGAGCTTTCCAGACCAGAGTCAAAAAAACATTAAAATTCCTTGCATAATGTATGCAGGGGTTTAGGTTGTAGCGGTGTTGGTCTAAGGACATAGGCAGACAAGGTTCCTTGGGTGAATTTGATATCTTTTATTAGACCAACCCAAATAGTTGAAGAATAGTTATTTAGCAAGCTTTCGGGTTCAAAAACCCTACGTCAGGCTAAGGAAGTTTCAGCAGTTGGTGTGTGCTCTTCCTGGACGGAAAAGCACACACCATCCAGGAAACGCACACACCAACTGCTGAAACTTCCTTAGCCTGACGTAGGGTTTTTGAACCCGAAAGCTTGCTAAATAACTATTCTTCAACTATTTGGGTTGGTCTAATAAAAGATATCAAATTCACCCAAGGAACCTTGTTTGCATCATGTATGACGCTTTTGATTTTAATATGATTTCATATTAAGAATCGTACTGATGTTTAAGTAATACTCCAAACAACAGTAATGAGAGGCAGAAAGTAAGTTAGCTATATTTGTCTGAAGAAAAACTGCAGTTGAGAGATCCTGCACCCACAGAATGCCTTAATTTAGCCAGAAAACAGGTTCTGGCTGAAACTAGGTCTGATTCCATGAACTTACTAGGAGAAATGTACGTTTAAAAGAATTAATTGAGATAAAACTGTTTCTCCCCTTTCTTACACCAACGTAGACTCAAGATAAATGTTTAATTTATATTGGTGTTGAAGAAAAAAATATATTTTTCATGCTGCTGCTTTTTCAAGTTCTCTAATTGGATGTTTCATGCCATTAAGGAAGCAGACCAAACAGAGTCATCCTCCATGAAAGGGTGAGGGGAGGACCACTGCTACCAGTGTTAAGGCAGTGGTGTGGTAGTTGAAGTGTTTTAGTGGCTGTTGCAATGCTTTTGGCAGAATTAGAGCCCCTGGTCATGAACATGACTAGCGTGTTTGCAGCTGCAGGAATGGACACCTTCATCAATATAACGTGAGTTTATCAACCCAATGGGGAAGCTTTTGTATACTCGGAAGTAAACCATTTTTGTTTTAGAATACCCATCTAGTCAGAACCCTGTATAGAAGAGCACTGTTTGACTCAAAAAAATTGTGTGTATACGTATTATTAATAATCCTGTAAACTAACTTGAACTGTATCCTGGATCTCTAATTTTTTTTTTTTTTTAAAAGCATTCTACATTTCCATACAGACTGAACCAGAATAGTCCCACTGCAAAATTCAGCAAGATATTTGCTGAAAGTTGGAAAAGCTCTGCATTTTAGGCAATATGAATATTTAGCTGTTTATGTTAATATTTTTAATATTTTACTTGCTTTCTATTTTTTAATGACAAAATGTGGTCAGGGGATTTTTAACACAGTCCACCTTTTCAGGTAAAGCTTTTATTCTTTGGATTCTTCTCCATAGGCACATTCAGGATCCAGCAAGCCAGCGGTTGACATGGAACAAACCTCCCAAGAGTGTCCTTGTTATCAAAAAGATTCGTGATGCTAGTCTGCTACAGCCCTTTAAAGAACTGTGCGTGTATCTTACTGAGGTAATACCACTTGGGAGAGATCAGAGCTTTTGGTACTTACATTTAAATGAAATGTTCTTACTTGCTGTTCTAGCTTTATTATAAATGGAGTTAGAATCATATATGCCGAATGAGTCCAAATGTACAGAGAACAATAGACATAATTGATTGCAAAACTCAACGTGGAACCAGTCTTTTTTTTCCTGCTAAACAAGCTCAGCTTAGTTTCCCTTTAAAGAAAACTACCCTTCTCATTGCATATTATATGAAGGATCTTATTCTGCAGTTTTAATACAGAACGAGGATAAATATTTATTCCATTAAACTGAGAAAATAATTAGCTAATTTGGAAGTATGGTTATGTCACAGGTGCATAGTTAAGATTCCAAAGGCTAGTTAATTTTTATTATGTGACCTTTGTCTGACAGTTTCAATAATAAAATATAGTAATAATTGCTGTAGGTTTTAACAATACATATAGAAGCTAAAAAGCACTTGTGAAAATCACAACATTTTAAACCAGTATCAAATACTGGTGGAAGTATCAGATGTGGTGTTATATTGTTAAAAGATTTATTAGTAAATGTTTTTGCTTCTTCTAGGAGAACAACATGATAGTTTATGTAGAAAAGAAAGTGTTAGAAGACCCAGCCATAGCTCATGATGAAAATTTTGGACCAGTGAAGAAAAAATTTTGCACTTTCAGCGAAGGTAGAGTAATGTTTCTTTAAAACTGGAGGTCTGATATATTGCCTTTTCATCTTCTGGTTTCCCTAGTGATTTGTTCAGATGAATCAAGTTTCTCTGAAATCTATTCTTGATAAACTCAAGCAGATGTTGTTTTGATGGTCTGTTCATTATTTCCACTTCTAAATTAACATTAGTGTGCTGCACCAAATTTACATGTGTAAATTGAAATCTTTAAGTTATGTAAATTAACCTTTTTAATGTTATCCTCTAGATTATGATGATATCTCCAATCAGATAGACTTCATCATATGCCTGGGAGGAGATGGGACCTTACTTTATGCTTCTTCACTTTTCCAGGTTAGTTCTATAGAAAATAAATCTTTATTATTTGAGGCGCTCTTCCCAATCAGAACTTTTGTGCAGGAGTCAGTCTCGAAGATTTTTGCAAGCTTTCTCCTTACTTGTTCAGACTTTTCTGGCTAGCCACCTTTCTCTGTTCCTCTACTATAAGAGCTCTTTAGGTTAGTAGTGCTCAAGTTTTTGGCCCCGCACCAGACAATGAGCCAGTTTGGCCTCTGTGCACTGGGATCAGGACCTAAGTCCTCACATTGCCTTCAGCTGGTCAGAGCCCAGTCCTGGCCAGGTTGGGGCTGCACAGGACCCTGAGGCCTAATTCTGATGTGTGGGGCAGCATGGGGTCCGAAAGCCCAGTCCCAGCAGTTCAGGGCTCAGTGCTGTCCCTGCCCAGCTCGGGCACTCTGCTGCCTTGTACACCCCGCCTCTAGCATGCAGGAGCATACCCTGCAGCCTGAGGGCTCCCCACAACATCTGTGAGAAGCCCCATGGGCCAGAGTACATAGCACCAGGGACCTGATCTGGCCTGCAGGACAGTGTTGAGCATCCCTGTGTTGCCAGTTCCATCTTTGTTTTTATTTTTGCACATAATTGAGGTCAAGCACATTTAGGATATTTGCAGACAAGTTGTTATGGTACTACTTAAACATAAAAAGAATAGGGATAACACACGCTTTAGTTGTGTAACACTGAACAACTTTTAAATTATTCCTTTTGACAGGGTAGCGTACCTCCAGTTATGGCTTTTCATCTTGGATCTCTTGGATTTCTTACTCCATTTAACTTTGAGAACTTTCAGTCCCAAGTTACTCAGGTTATAGAAGGTAAGAATTTTTTTTCCACTGTAAGAAAAATAGAAAATTATCTTTGCAACTTTTAAAAGGCTTGTTCTCTCCCTGTTTTGTTAGGGTTTCCTTTAACAACTGAACTGTCTAAAATCAGTCATTTGATACTGTAGTGATTATTGCAGTATCATTTTTTACATTGTTTCGTAAAGTTGGGATGGCCTTGTGCTTGTAGCATGTAAGGAAAGATCAGGGAAATCATGTGGGTGTACTCATCAACCCACACACACAGTAACAATCTAGGAGTGATGGTACTGGAAGATCTTAATGACCTAACTTCTCTGTTCCTGTGAACATTATCACATTAAAGTGGTAGGAAATTGGACCTACAGTGATCAGGAAACTTTTAAATGTTCCAGGTTTTCTTTTCTTTTTTTTTTTTTTTTTCTCTCTGAGTTAATGCATAGTTTACATATGTTTTTGGCATTTTCATAAACAGTTGACATGGAGAATCAGAAAAATTACGTGCTGTGTAAGTTCTCACTGAATAGGAAACCTTGACTCTTGAGTGCTTGATTTTCTAACCTGAATGTGCATTTAAACTAGTTCTTGGTATTTAAAGTCTTTTTGAGAGAGAAGGAAAAAAAATGCTATAACTTGTCACCTTGGTATAAAGCTATTCTGGTTGTATAATTAAGTAATTAAAAAGCATTAATGTAAGTCTCATGTTGCTAAATTGATATGTTTGTGAATTTATAAAGATGAACTGGTTTCTTTATGCCAAGTTTAAGTATCAGTGAGGATTATCGAACAAACCAACTGTCTAGCTTCTGACTTCAGCAGTTATAGGCCATTTGCACATAAAGCTTTAAGAGTCTCATTGAACTTTCAAAGGGATAGTTGGTTTATATGTTTGCATTATTTAAAGTTATCTCTTTCATTCCCACCCAACTTCAGTTTTGAGGTGAAGTTAAGCCCACAACATTCTGTTGTAAAAAACCTAAGGAAAACATTATGAGCAAGTGAAAAGTGGAGAAGAGCATTTCATAGCAGTTTGTTAGTAACTTATTGTGAAAATAGTAAAGTTGCTTATAATATAGTAGGTACACTCTAGTGTGCGTGCGTGTGTGGGTTTCATCCTTTCCTTCCTTTTGGATTGCAGGCAATGCAGCACTTGTTTTGCGGAGCAGGCTGAAAGTGAGAGTAGTAAAGGAGCACAGAGAGAAGAAAGTGATACAAAATGGTATAGAAGAAAATGGAATGGTACCTACAAGTCTAGAGAAAGAAGTGGTCAAGCAAATCATGCAATATCAGGTCAGAGCCAGAAGAGTGTAAAATGGAAAACAGGCAAAAGAACTAAGAAATAATTCATCCTACACTCAAGTTTCTCTAGTTTTTTCTTTTTCATCATATTCTGTTAACCCAGTATTATGACACTTTCTATATTGCTTCCAGGTAATTTCCTAAATAGGCAGTAAAGGGTGTATTGTATAACGTAGCATTTGCTATAATGCTGCATATGCTATAATCGTAATACTTTGTTTATATATTGCTCTGCACCAGAAGTTTTCTTGTATTTTGAAACCAGTAAATTGATTACAATGGCCTTTACAATTGAATGCCTCACTGGTGGATATAACCAAAGGGAGAATCCTATTAGCGCCATCAGCAACTTGCTTTTGGAAAATATATTTTTATCCCTAGCACCAAGTAACTATTTCTACTAGTGATCACTAAGACAGGATTATATAGCAACTCAAAGACCAAGATAGGCTGGTGAAGATTGGGGTGAAACTTTCAAAAACATATGTTACTTGTCCCTTGTCAATTACTATCTTGTCAAGCAAAAAAGAATAATTAACTGGTTTGGTGTCATGCCAGGTCCTAAATGAAGTTGTTGTCGATCGTGGTCCTTCCTCCTACCTTTCCAATGTAGATGTTTATCTGGATGGGCACCTTATAACCACAGTGCAAGGAGATGGTAAGTTAATGTCTCTTGATAAAAAGCTTAACCAGTCCCTATCTAAATACTAAAAGGAAACTAACTTCTACTTAGCTTGCCTCTACTTTTTTTACTTTTTCCATCTCACTGTTTTTGTGAGATGGAAATAAAAGCTTGGGTTTCAGCTCCTGGGCTATTGAAAACTGGGTGTGCAGAAGAAGTGAGAGTTTAGGCAACTGGCACAGTCCACAAAGCAGCACTGACATCAGTAAAAAAAAAAAAAAAAAAAAAAAAGCTTACAGAACACATTATGTGGAGGTGTCATATGGCAACTTGTTTGTATAGGAGAACTGGGGACAAAAGGAAGAAGTTAGAAGATGGTACTTGGGTGCCTAGCAAGTAGGGGTGCAGCAATAAAGATTTTTTTGATCAATACCAATGGTTGATTATTAACTAGCCATATCGACTGATCCAATTGCCAATATGCAGCCCAGCACCTTGGAGAGCAGTGTCTGGCTGGTAAGTCTGTTGGGGTGGGGAGGAAGGGGTGTGAAGGGGAAGCAGATCGAGGTCCCCACGGTGAGAGAGGGAGTGGGGCTGGGGCAGGGTGTGGGACAGAGCCGTGAGCAGCTTTTGCATGGGGGGTGGTTCCTGCTACTGCACACATCCCGGGGAGGCATGGGGGGGCATGCATCCCCTGGATCTGTGCATGAGGCTAGGGTGAGGCTGTGCGCTTGGGGTGGGGTGTGGTACCAGGCTCTTTCCAGTTAGGACTGGACCAGGACTACACTCATGGCAGGTGGTGGCGCTGGGAGGGTGGGCTATGGCAAATTTTGGGGTGGCTGTAGTCCACCCTATAGCCCGCTCTCCTAGCACCACTGTTGCCTGCCCCAAGCGCAGCCCTGGTTCAGGCCCTGCCAGAAGGAGTCCAGAACTGCCCCCGGCCCTGAGCATGCAGCAGGGAACCTGCCCTCACCAGTGCCTCTCCTGGGGTGCATGCAATGACAGGAGCTGCACCCCCCCAACCCCTGGATGAGTTGCTTATGGCTCTCTCCTGCCCCACCCAGCCCCGTTCCCTGCCTCACTGTGGGGGGCCTCGATCTGCCCGCGCACACCCCCCCCCTCCCGACTTACCGGCTGGACACTACTCTCCAAAGCACAGGAAGCCCTTGCTCTCCAAGCTGTTGGGCTGCATTCCTGGCCATGTGCGTGCTGTGGCTGTGCACATGCACACAGCATTTATCAGCGACATTATCGGCCACACCAGCTAAAAAACCTGATTTGCCAATGTCAGTTTTCCTTTTATCAGTGCTGATCCGATATGGACCAATGTATCAGTGTATCTCTAATATTAAATATTGACACTTCATCCTTAAAGCTCTTAACAGATATGAATCTTCCTACCCTCGTAGGTATGTGTGTATGTGCGGTGTACAGATGCGCAAATTGAGGCAAGAGAAGGAGTCTGTCAATGCTTGAATTGGAAGTTTCTGGTCCCCATTCATGTATCTGGATCACTCCTTTCCTTGGAAGTCTGAGTTCATCCTGTAGACTTCCCAATTTCATTTAACTCAGTCTCTTTAATATTTTAAAAGCTTATAGCTGAAATCAAGCCTCAGCTGACTCATGGTGGAGAAATCCAACTTGGGATAAGGTCAAATGTTTTTTTAGTAGCTTTAAATAAAGGAAGTGCAACTTCCTGTTACCTAGCCTTACTTTAAAGCAGTTGTTTTCAGCCTGTGGTCTCCAGACTCCTGGGGGGCTATAGACTACATCTAAGGGGTTTGCAAAAGATGACTGATTGATCAAAAATGTGAATACCCACACCTACAATTTGGAGGGGTTGGCACCTCCATTCAAAACTTCCAAAGGGGTCCGCAAATGAAAAAAGGTTGAAAACCACTGCTTTAAAGAATTACCTTCAGCTGAGCATGTGTAAGTAAAACTTGTGTTCCATTCGCAGGCGTTATCGTTTCCACACCGACTGGTAGCACTGCTTATGCTGCTGCAGCTGGAGCTTCAATGATTCATCCAAATGTTCCTGCAATCATGATCACCCCAATCTGTCCTCACTCATTGTCCTTCAGACCCATTGTTGTCCCTGCAGGAGTGGAGCTCAAGGTTAGCTTTTGTTCTCTTTGTTCAAAGACGTAAATTATCGGAGATAAGAACATTGGCCCAGGAAGCCCTTTCTCGTCCCTAAATCCAGACCCCTGCATTTGCAGACAGCCATTTACCCAAGGTTTCCTCAGAATGGCTGCTTGAAACCTCACACACCACTACAGGTACAAAATGGGTGCATCTACACAAGACGTTTACTATGGAGCTGCCTAATTAGCTCCACAGTAATCATCTCGGCATCCACACATGTAGCCCTATTAGGCCACAGTAAACTAATAATCTCTGCCAAAGGTTAGTACTTGTAAATACAAATACTAACCTGTGGCAGAGTTTTTTAGTGCATAGCAGTGCACGTGTAGACGCTGACAGGGCTGACTGGGGCACAAGAGTGTGCAGGCTGCCTCCTGGCTAGCCCCACACTGGAGCACCCTTGTGCCCATCCAGCCCTGCTGCAGCACATTGAGCTGGATCAGGGCAGCCTTAGACTGGCAGGTTGACCCCGTGGACCCTCTGCTAGCTGGGGCTGCTCCAACCCAGCTCGACATACTGTGGTCCTGGGTGCATGTTCAAACGCAGAGCCCAGGAGCAATAAATTCCGGTGTAGTATGTGCCGGGGTTATTGCTGTGAATTAATTGCATCTGTAGGTGTGCCCAATAAGAAGATAAATATTATAAGACTGACCAAAGCAAAGGACATAAAGTTTGTTTATTATTAGGCACCGTGCCCATATGTAGAATAATGGTTCTCAAGCATATTGATTCATGGCAGCACTCTATAACTTTTGTGAATTAAGCAGCACCCCAATTCAAAAACTAATTTATTTATTACAGTGCTTAGCTCCTTGCAGAAGTGTTGGGCAGTGGAAGCAGGCCACCTGCCAGGCAGAGAAGCGCCTGAGCCTGCACTTACCTGTTCATATCTGCTTATCTTCCTTGCGTCTCATAGCACCCTTTTAAAAGATCTCAAGTCACCTCAGGGTGCCCCGATACCATGGTTAAGAATCATTGATGTAGAACTGTCAGGAATGGGAATTTTCCAGACTAGCAGATGTAAGCAGATATACTTATTTAGAAGGATGATCATCTTAATTGCATATAGTTTTGCAAAAAAAAAAAAAGCCCCCAAAACGTGTCTTTTCCAGTCTGTGCTCAGAGTGAATTTTCTTTTAATAGATTTTGGCCACAGATCAATTTATTTCACTAGTTTTGTGTTTTAATATTTTGCACAACTCTTTTAGTGTGCTAGTCTATATAATGGAGAAATCTTGATGTTTTGTAAGGGTATGAGAAGTTTAAAAAGGATTTTTTTACCGTTTGAATTGCTTGCTTATTCATGGCACCTCATCAAGCTACAGTTTATCTATACAGTTGGCAGTATGGCGGAAGTCAATCATCTCGACGACTCCTACCATAAATTATGTGTATGGTAAAGTTGGCAAGTGGTCAGTTGGCTAAACAAATACAGTCAGTTGACCATTTATTTGGCCATGGTCAGATACTGTTAAATACTCCATGAAGCCATGAATGCCCGTGTATAGGTGGTGGTCTACCTTTTTTTTTTCCGTCGTGCTGTCATTTGTTAGCAAGGGGCAGAAGTGAGGGCTCCTTGCCTCCCAGTCCTGCAGGAGGCAAGACACATATATACATCACCTCCTCATCCCCTTTTTCAAGGAGCAGGCATCCTTGCCCTGAGCTCTTCCAGCCAATTCTCTCATTCCCTCCTCCCATCCATTAAGCCATGTGGGGCTGC